TCCCTTATTTGAGCATTCCTAATCTGAATATCCAAAATATAAAATGCTCTAAAATCTGAAATTTTTTAGTGTATACACACCGACCTCACCTGACAAGTTGAAACACTGTTGCACAGCTTATTTAACATCCTAGAGAGAAAAAAAGATCTTCCCAGTCCTCTTCTACTGCTCTACATCTTTACCAAGCCCACGTCCCCCTGTGGAACATGTCCAGAAAGGGTTCATATGCAAAGTTACTTAAAACATTGGGGGTAAAATTACCTTCAGCCTATATGTATGATATGCATAGGAACCTAAAGGAGTTTCAACGTTTACACTTGCGTTGGATCCCAGCCCCAGATATCTCATCACGTATAATACGTAAACAATTTCAAAATCTGAAGAAAACAAAAGAAAGAAAGAAATAATCTAAAACACAGCTGGCCCCAAGGATTTAAGATAAAGGATACTAAACTCATACATACTTTCACATTCATTAAGATCCATTAGATCTTGGGGTCAGCAGATGGCATACTGGTTACACCGCTGGACCCCACATGGCTGACCATAGTTTGAGTCCTGGACCCGGTGACTTGAAAATCACACTGGGCACGTGTGCATGTGTGCCCAGGATCCCAGGCAGAGAATGAAGGAGACAGGATTGCGAAGTGGTCATCTCCCCTTGGGGGTGATCTCTCACCTTCTCTCTCACTGTCTCTCTCTCTCTCTCTCTGGCAAGTGCACGTACCCTATAGCAAAAACTCTAAAACAATAAATCTATTATTCTTAAAAACAAACCCAGGAAGGTAGATACGCCATTATCCCCATTTTATAGACAAGAGAACAAATCACTGAGCGACGTAAAACCACAGGAAATACACGAGGGAGATCAGTCGAGTGTTCACCTCAGCAGAGCCTCAGCAGCAATAGGGCTCTTTAAGTCCCGGATTTAATCGCCTTGAAATAGGAAAAGGTATAGGAAACTGGATTGCTTCTGCTGGCCTTGACCAGGACAACCACACATGCTCTCAGTCATTTCACTGTCATCGCCTCGACCCCACCCATAATCCGTAGGGGTATTTCATTTCTGCAGGAGGGACCCAGGATTGAAGACGTGATCCTCCGCAGCTGGAGGTTCTCCATCCTGACAGGAGTGTGTGCCTGCCCTGGCTCCTCCTCCTCCTCCCCGCAGCACACAGGGCAGGACCCCGGAGTAACTGACCAACTCCAGAGGAGTCACTGAGCCATTGTTCTCACCAGCAGGGCCTCGCAATCCTAAACCCAGGTCCAGAGATCTACCGTAGAAACACACGGGCTGGTGTCATCGTTGATGTGATTGCTGTTGCGGCGTTTTAGCTTGGAAAACAAATCCCTTCTTTTGCCTTTCCTTTGATTATTCTCCTCGAATTGCTCCTTAGAGAAGACCAGGCAAGGGAAAAAGTAAAAGTTCCTAAGGCGACGACTTTCCGCTGAGTTCAGAGAAAAGCGAAAGTCTGAAACTTGTTGAAGAATGTCAGTCGATCCCTAGGCCGCCGTCGTAAATTACCGCCGGTCCCTAGGAGGGGGCGGGCCTTCCTGGAAACGGCACCACCAGTCTTCACTTCGCAGTCCCGGGTGCTCTGCGGATCTCAGGGGCCGGCGGGCGGCGGACCTGCGGGCTCTGGGGCGGGGTCTCACGTGCACCTGAAGACAGAGGTTCCGCCGGCCAAGCTGCCCTCCCCCCGTTATGGGATCTGTCCGGGATCCTTCTCTGTAGACCAAGGTGGGGAATTGAACCCGGAGTCTGTGGCGGGCGCGGCAGGAGTCTCCTGCGACTGGAGGAGTTAGCCCTCTCCTAAGTGTCCCACGCCCCACTGTCCACTCTGCTTCTCTGTTACTTTCCTCCCCTTCCTCCTTGCTTCCTTCCTCGGATCTAGACGAGTCCTGTTTTCTCGTTTTATTTAAATGTATCTTTGGAAATGCCGCTTCCACCTTCCTGCAACCACCCTGTGGCAGCCCCCTGCCCCTCTGTAGCAATTTCAGAGGCAGGCTGTCCCTCTGTAAGTGCCAGGACGCTGGGAGCCAGGCTGAAAATGTAGCCTGCACCCTGTCCCCGCCCCACCCTGCTCAGGGTGGCCGCTGCACCAGCTCTTCCTGGCCCTGGGCTGCAGGGTGACTGTCCAACACAGGCACCGTGACACTCGAGTGTCCCCCAGATCCAGCCGCCTGCTCAGCATGGTGCCCTCTGTGTTCCTGACTCTTGCGTTCATGGCGAGTCTTTTGAAGAGCCCCTGGAGAAGGAGCTAGCCAGGACAGCAGTGTGCCTTTGTCCAGGAGATGGGAGTGAAGAGCACAGCCCTGCCCTGAGGGGGTCTGTCCTTCCAGAGAAAGCTGGTCCCCTCCTGCGCCTAGCCTTGCTTGGCTGCCCTTGGTGAGCCCTGCATGGCCAGAGCTCTGCTGTCCCCTTTCCTGCCCGTGGCCCCCCAAGCAGCCCCACAAGCTCCCTGTGGTGGCAGGGAAGTCCCCCCTCCCAGCCTGGCTGCCTGCCTTCTGTCCCCACAGCTGACACTGCCCTGCCTTGTGGTCAGTATTGAGCCGTTTTGACTCACTCAGTTTTAATCCAGCTGCTCAAAATAAACACAGATATAAATAAACATAGAAAAGCCAGACTTATTGGTGCTGATTGTGGGGTGAGGCAAGGCCTGTGAGAACCATCCCCACCTGATGGGTGATCTTGGACACTAGGCTTTGAATTGGTGTAGGGCTCAGGGTTATAAATCCTGATGGGCAGGGAAGCAGGTGGCCTTGTAGTTAAGGTGCTGGACTCCCACCGGTCCAAGTGTGGTTGGAGTCCCTGGACCTGGTGGCTTGAAAATCATGCTGGGATCGTGTACCTGCATGCCTCAAATCCCAGCAGAATGGAGAAGGGATTCCAGTGTGGCCATCCCTTGGGGGAGTGAGTTCTTTCAGTCTCTTTCTTATGAGGCACGCGCCCTGTGCAAAAACTTAAAAAAAATCAACAACCACTGCCAGCAACAATAGTAAATGGCGATTGGGTGAACACTGAGGCCTAGAATCTCCATGGGGCAGTTCTGGAAAAGCTGCTGCCCAGCAAAATCTCAGCGGGAATTTGCAACAGGGGAGGAAAAAAGAACCAAACTTGCCTCCAAGGCTTGCCTTTTTTTCTTAAAAGTACTTTAAAAGGGAAAGTTTGTTTGTGTTTTTTATTGCCATTTTGTTTTTGTACATATCATTAGGGGTCAGCCTTTTTTTATGATCTTGGGGGTCCAGATGTCTCCTCTGCCCTGTTTCAGAGTTACTTGTGGTGTGACCATGTTCACTCTGATCTCTAAGGCGAGAAAACCCTGTGAGAAAAGCAAAAACAAAAAAAGCAATCTTATTCTGAGTATCCCAGTAACATTTTTGTGTGTGCTATAAGTAGTTGGTTTGTATGTGATGGTTAAAAAGGCCAAATATAAAAGGCTTCCCCCCCCCTTTTCTTGCCTCCAGGGCTTGCCTTTTTTTCTTAAAAGTACTTTAAAAGGGAAAGTTTGTTTGTGTTTTTTATTGCCATTTTGTTTTTGTACATATCATTAGGGGTCAGCCTTTTTTTATGATCTTGGGGGTCCAGATGTCTCCTCTGCCCTGTTTCAGAGTTACTTGTGGTGTGACCATGTTCACTCTGATCTCTAAGGCGAGAAAACCCTGTGAGAAAAGCAAAAACAAAAAAAGCAATCTTATTCTGAGTATCCCAGTAACATTTTTGTGTGTGCTATAAGTAGTTGGTTTGTATGTGATGGTTAAAAAGGCCAAATATAAAAGGCTTCCCCCCCCCTTTTTTTTGTCTATGAAGTTACTGTGCTTATTTATTCATGGCCTGCCTGATGCATGTGTGAAACAATGCCCAACATAAACTAGAATTTTATTTTGTTGAGTTCTCAACAAAAAAAAAAAAAAAGAGAGAGAGAAAAAGAAAGAAAGCAAGCTGCCTTTCTCAGGAGTCCTTGTGTTTTCCAGTTGGTAGGTACGTTCTCAGCTGGCCCAGGGCCTCTGAACAAGCACATTAGTTTCATTTTACTCTGCATCCTCTGTGTTTTGGCAGTGCCATGCAGCTCCCAAAGGTGTGTCTGCAGGGAACACGCTGTTTCCTGTGCTGGAGCTACAGATCAGGGCACGCATTGACAGAGATGGAGGGGCCCCTCAGAATGGTCGGGGCTGTCACTGGCCCAGCCCTCTCCCTACAGATTCTGGATAAAAGAATCTATAATGTAAATCATAACCTGGAAACATCAAATGTATCTGTCACCACATCGTGTGAAATGGCTGTCTTGGGTTATGAAATTTGGAAGCTGTGTTTAGGAAAGCCTGATTTAAAATAGAGAGCACGTTGCCTGTGTAAGAATTATATTAGAATATCTTAGAGAAGACCGACAGTGGATTCAGTTATGAGTCCCATAAGTGTGCTAAGTTGCAGGAGTGGGTTGGGATCACGCAGCTTCCCATCTGCAGTCTCTGAATAGCCTGAACCAAAGCAGGCCCAGCAGCGGTTTCTTGAACAGCAGCTGTGATAACAGGAGCAGTCCCGGCGTCTAGGGCATGGACGACACGCCTCTGTGCCAGGCCCTGTTGAGGGCCTTCACATGCATTAATTCACATACGATGCGTAGGTGTGATGGCTCTCGCTTTAAAAGGAGTGTACCGAGGCTCAGGGGTGTACTGATAACTATTCAATATTCCAGAGGAGTTGGGATCTTGGTCTCCCGTCCCAGCTCCCACATTAACCCTCGGGATGTATTTTTAGGCCAGAGAGGAGCTCGTGAGGTCCTGGTGTTTGAGTAGATGGCTCCTACCACGTCACTCTGTCTGTGATGTGTCTTTTCAGCAGAAGCACTGCATCACCATGGTGTCTCCCTGTGGCCTCCTCACCCTCCAGAAGGACCCAGGTAAGCCTGGTTCAAGACTTCCCTGCCTTGTATCTTTGGATCCTACCCAGTGCCCGGCCTGAGTGAGGCTTTCTGTTGTTTACGCTGGAATTCTGTTCTGTCCCCAGTGCCTCTGTCACCTTGGCCGTTCATGAGTTCGTGGCTGGTGTGTCTGCAACCTTACACTACGAGAATGAGGAGAAGGCTCCTCTGGAGACCTTCTTCGTGTTCCCCATGGATGAAGACTCTGCTGTCTACAGCTTTGAGGCCTTGGTGGATGGGAAGAAAATTGTGGCAGAACTACAGGACAAGATGAAGGTCAAGGGATGAGGATTACCTCCCTCTTGTTTCTTTCTCGCATGCTCTCTGGGGTCCCTATCAACAGCAGTGTCACAGAAAATGCTGAGGTCCAATGTTCTTTCCTTCATGTCCTTCTGTTTATCTAAAACCATTTTTGAAGAAAACCCAGTTAGAAGCATTTGAAGTGTAGCCGTGTCCTTGATGAGACAGTCCCAGTCCCTCCCGCCTGTCTTTGTTCCCTGCACTCTTCAGCTCTTAACCACGATGGTAAATTTGAACATTACCTTTTTCTCCATCACTCTGTTCCCCTTAGGCCCACACTGACTATGAGAATGCCCTCTCCCAGGGCCACCAGGCCTTCCTGCTAGAGGAGGACGGGTACTCCAGGGATGTCTTCTGTTGTAATGTAGGGAACCTTCAGCCTGGGTCAAAGGCCGCACTCACCCTGCGGTATGTGCAGGAGCTGCCCCTGGAAGCAGATGGGGCCCTGCGCTGTGTGCTCCCGGCCGTCCTGAATCCTAGGTACCAGCTCTCTAGTGAGTACCGCTCCCCTTTGAATGGCGGGGGTGGTGACATAGTTGGGGAACTCTTAAGGTTGCTGGTATATTAAAAGTATTGGCAGGAAAACTGAACTCAGGTAACCTTTGTAGGAAGGACTAAGGACAGTTGTGTTAACATGAAGACTCCGATAGTTCCTCCGGAGGACCTGCCCTACACACTCAGCATGGTTGCCACCATCAGTTCCCAGCACGGTATTGAAAGGGTGCAGTCCAACTGCTCCTTGAGTCCTGTCAAGTACCTGGGAGATGACAAGACCACTGCTCAGGTAGTTAGTGAGCAAGCTCTACTGTCAGCAGCACCTCTGTTCCTCCGACTTGACCCGGTCCTTCCCGAATGTTCCTTGCTTTTCCCTGTAACCCAGAAGGAGCTGTGCTGTGAGCCTGCCTTAGCCCATTAATGTCCAGAGCCTTCTCTCCATCGTCACCTTTGCCTCCTGATCAGCTCACCCTTGCAAGATGCCCAGAGCCTTCTCCTTTGACTTCAGCCCCAGGAAGCAAACAGTGACAGTTCTAATGTGGCTCCTTGGCCTGTCGCCTGCTCAGGTCTCCTTGACTGATGGACACAAGTTTGATCGAGATGTGGAACTCCTGATCTACTACAGTGGGGTGCACTCCCCCACTGTAGCCGTGGAAACGGGGATGCCTGCCATGGAGCCAGGTACTTCTTTCCTCCTTCGTAGTCACACAGGAGGGAACTCCCTATCTGGAATGACTCTCAGGTTACTCTTGCTTTCTTTTCTCTCCACCAGGAGGCAGGTAAAACATATTGCTTGGAATGGCTTACACTAGCATATGCAGAAATGGTTAGATTTAATCAACATCATGTGATGACATTTTGTGGACAAATTTAAGTAGATCATTAGATAATTGGGCAAAGGACATGAACAAATAAGTCACAGCCAGTTCATAAACATGTAATGGTCAGTCTTGACAGAAATACAATAAAAATAATCCTAGCATTTGCCTGATATTCTTGACAGTTGGATGTGTTGATCTGTCATATCCACAGCAGCCTTGCTGATTTCCCAGTGCTGTCCGGTCCCCTTCCCCCACCAAAAAATGCTATTTGTAATCTGGAATCTGGATTGTATAATCAGATCTGGTTGTATAAACATTTTTTATAAAGGTTTTTGCCATAGAGCACATGTGCTCACAGGAGAGAAATAAAGAGAGATAGAGGGAAAGTGAGAAGTCGCCCCTTAGGGAGGAAAGCCACACTGCAGTCCCTTCTCCAGTCTCCTCTCAGGATTGTGGGCACACATGCACACGTACCTGGTATGATTTTAATTTTTTTTGAGAGGTTTTTGCTATAGGGCATGTGTGCTCTCCAGAGGGACAGAGAGAGACAAAAAGTGAGAAATCATCGCCCAAGGTAATGGCCACAGTACAATCTCTTCTCCAGTATTCTCTTGGAATTTTGGACATACATGTACAGATGACCAACATGATATTTAAGACACTGGGTCCAAGACTCAACCAAGTGGGAGTTCAGCATCTTAAGCACCATGCCACCACCTAGTCCCAACTGGCATGATTTTCAAGCTGCCACATCTGGGATTTGAACCATGGTAAGCCATGTGGGAATCCTTAACCACCATGTCATCTGCTGGCCCCATAAACATCATTATTGAACCAGTGTTCTATTAAGTATTTGCTGGGTCACATCCATTTTATTTAGAAGCCATCTTGGTTATTGGAGTATCCCACTAACTAAACTGAACCAGGTTCTGTGATCATATTGAATCCCAGAGTTGTTCAGTATTTAAACCTGTAGTTCTGGAAACACTCTGTAGAAATAGGAAAAAGTATGTTTTCAATTTTTCTTAGAGAATTTTGCAATAGGGCGCATGTGCTTTCTGAGAGACACAGAAGGACAGAAAGCAAGAAATTACCCCTCGGGGGGATGGCCATGCCACAATCCCTTCTCCTCCATTCTTCTCTTGGGATCTTGGGCACGCATGGACCACATGCCTGGTGTGAGTTTTAGGCCACCAGGGTCAGAAACTTGAACTGCGATCCACTGCATGGGAGTCCAGCAACATAACCACTCTACCATCTGCAGGTCCCAGAAAAAAGTATATTCTATGTTCTGTTATGAACTATAAAACTACATCTGACATAATATTGCCATTCTCCTTAAATCTGTTTTGATATTAGTGATTTGATTCCCGCATTTGCTTTCACTTGCTTTTAATAATAACTCACAGCTATGCTTTGGTACCTCATAAAGCAGGCGGGTGGGCTGGCATGCCCAGGGCTGCCTTCTCTGGCAGTGTGGCCAAGTGCTTCCTCCCAGAACCAGACCCCTTCGTGTTTAAAAGGTGCGTTACAACCTTAGCTACTCTAGTGTCAGCCTAAGCATTGCCCAGGAAACATGGCATGTTCAAGTTGTAATGAAGGACTTAAACGAGGGCCCAGTGATAAATTTCCCATGGATTTGACTTAACAAGGTTTATCTCTGCAAGTAGACTAGTCTGATTCTTTTTGCAACTGCTGAAACTTTTTTTAGATTTTGATCGTAGGGCACATACTGTGGTGGCCAGAGAGAGACAGACAGAATGAGAGAGGGAAAGTGAGAAGTCACCCCTCTTGGGAATGGCCATGCCTTCATTCTCCTTTGGGGATTTTGGACACACATGCACAAATATTCGACATGTTCTTCAGGCCACCAGGTCTGGGGCTCAAACTGCAGAGTCGGCTCTGTGGGACCCAGTGCCCTGACCTCCAGGCCCCCTGCTGGCTCACTGCTGGAACATTTTTTTCTTTTCTTTTTTTTTTTTTTTTTGAGAGATTTTTCACTATAGGGCGTGTGCGCTCGCCAGACAGACAGAAAGAGACATAGAGACAGAAAGCGAGAAATCACCCCCCAGAGGGGATGGTCATGCCGCAATCCCTTCTCCTCCATTCTCCTGTCGGGATCTTGGGCACGCACGCACACAAGCCCAGCGTGAGTTTTAAGCCACCGGGTCCAGGACGCGAACCACGGTTGACTATGTGGGAGTCCAGCGACATAGCCATTATGCTAACTGCTGGTTCCCACTGCTGGAACATTTTAACCCTATGTGTTTTACTCATTTATCTGACATCTGGTCACAGTGTTTTAATTCTTGCCTGTGCCTGCTGACTTCCTGTGCTCTTTTACCATTTCTGACCTGCTTTCTGTCTTTTTTTTATATGCTCATAGCACACCTCATCTCCTTTGCACACAGACACAGTGTGCAAATCAACCACAGTGTTTTAGATTTGAGTTCCCTTGGCTCCCTATTGAACTCACTGCAGTTGATGCTTGGGGGTGTTAGGATCTTGAGTTCCTCCACATCTTACAGTGCCTTTGCTTTCTATGCAGAGTGTGTGATGGGAGACCCATCAGCAATGGTGAGCTTTTATCCAGATATCCCAGAAGCTCAGTCACCTGTCCGTGGAGAATTTGTCTTCCTCATGGACCGCTCGGGAAGTATGCAGTCCCCGATGAGTGTCCAGGACAGATCTCAGCTGCGCATAGAGGCAGCCAAGGTAAACTGGTTTCATTATTTTTCAGGGTCATATGCTCAAGTGAGGCAGGGGTCTCAGAGATCAGTGTCCATTTGGGGCCATGGGTCAGTTCCTATCTGCGCTGTAGCTAGGGGGCCACTTGAAGGGCAGAGTTGGCTATAGAGAGGCTCAGTGGGGTGGGGTGACACCTCATGAGTTAAATCAGAGGGTCTGTGTGTCTGAGTAGGTCCTTCCTCCCTCCGTTAAATTATTCTCTCTTACTTCAGGAGACACTGATTTTGCTTCTGAAGAGTCTCCCTATAGGCTGTTATTTCAACGTCTACGGATTTGGATCTTCCTACAAGGCACTCTTTCGGTAAGTTTCTGGAGAGGCTATAAAAGTCCAAAAATATAATTTACTGAAATGGATTAGATAGTTAAAGGGGTTACTGCAGAATGACCTTGGCACTGAGGGGTTCAGGTAAGTCTGTTTCTGGTTTGTTACACTTAGGAATGAGAGACTCAACAATGGCCAGTGTCAAGCGGCCAGCATATAACCAGGTGTGTCTGTGTTGCTCAGGAAGAGTGTGGAGTACACGCAGGAGACAATGAAGAAGGCAGTGGAGAGGATCCAGGTGATGCAGGCAGACCTAGGGGGCACCGAAATCTTGGCACCACTGCAGAAAATTTACAAGGCACCCTCCATCCCAGGCTACCCCCTCCAGGTAAGAATTGGAATGGAGCTGACAGGAGGGAACAGAGAGACAGAGACCTGTTTAAGAACCCATGCCCCTGGGCTTCAGTGCAGGATTGTTAGCATGGTATAGAATTCAGAGCATCTATCATGTCGTAAAAACAATAGACTAGTGGCATTTTTCTTTACCCTTGACTCTGTGTAGTGGGCAGTAGAGGTACTTCTGAGGAGTGTCACAAAAGCCTAAGGTGACACTAGTAGGGGGAGATGTTACAGATCCCCAGCATTCTTAACAGACCATATGAGAACGTGGTGCAGGTGACAGTGGATCCTGAGGGCTCTCATGCCCATTTGAAGAGACATCAGAAGCTCTGGAATGAAATAGATGGATTTTTCAGGGACAGATTCTGGTATCATAAAATGAACTTGGCAGAGGCTTAATGAATGTCTTCTTTCTTTGTATAGCTTTTTGTCTTCACAGATGGAGAAGTTACTGACACATTTAGTGTAATTCAGGAAGTTAAGACCAACAGGCAGAAACACAGGTATGAAGAGAATATGATTCTAAGAGACTGCTCCCTAGAAGTGCCATGTGTGACCTAGTGCCTCATGACACCAATGTTGACATTGCTTTCAGAGGACTGATGATTCAGGAAGCTCATTGTACCAGCTGATGCTTTCTCTCTGCAAAAATTAAAAAGTAGTATTCTAGGCCAGCAGATGGCTTAGTGGTTGCTAGACTCTAACGTGGTTAATCCTGGTTTGAGTCCCAGACCCTATGAAACTCATGCCAACTGCATGTGTGTGCATGCCAAAAATCCCAGGAGGGGAATGGAGGAGAAGGGATTGAGGTGTGGCCATCTCCCTACGGAAAGTGATTTCTCTATCTTTCTCACGTTCCTTCTCCCTGTCTCTGTCTGTCTGTCTCTCTCTGGTGTGGCCACACTAAGGCAAAAACCTTTACAAATAAATTAAAATAAAAAGTAATAATTCAAATAACATAAACAATAGAGCAAAATTACAGGATTTTATTTTTCTAAACCATTTAAGAGAAATGAATCATAAAATGCTACCTTTTTCAACCCTAAACATTTTTTGTCCAAATAAAATGTGGAAAACTATACAAATCTGAAGTACACAGCTAGATGATCGTCACAGTGAATGCACCTTTTTAACCAGCACCCAAGTCAAGAACTGGACTAGCAGACTCCTTCCTCTCTGCCCTTTCCTATCACGACCTCCTTCCAACTACCGTGTACTTACAGCTTTCCTGACCTGCAGCACCATGGATTATTTGTATTTGTTTCCTAATGAATAGCAAAGAATTACACAGCTTTTTTGTTTCTGTGTTTCTATTTCCTTTGCTTTCAGCAGAATGTTGAGATGCACATATATGCTGCATATAGCCATAGATGATTTTTATTGGTGTATGCTATTCTGCAGAATAACTACCAGGATTTACTGATTTAAATGCTGATGAACTTTGGTTTAGCCATTAAAAACAATGCTACTATAAACATTTTTATTATTATTTTTAATTTGGCCAGAGAAAGACAGAGACAGAAAGGGAAAGTGAGAAAGTAAGCTGCCAGCTCCAGGACTTGAACCACGGTGAGCCATGTGGGAGTCCAGTCCCTTAAACACCACACCACCACCTGCTGGCCCCCATTAAAAACATTTTTACATTTTCATGCATGTATATACACATTAATGAAGTATACTTTGTTTTCAGTGAAAAAATTGTGGAATTTCTGAGGAACTACAAAGGGAAAGTGAGAAAGTAAGCTGCCAGCTCCAGGACTTGAACCACGGTGAGCCATGTGGGAGTCCAGTCCCTTAAACACCACACCACCACCTGCTGGCCCCCATTAAAAACATTTTTACATTTTCATGCATGTATATACACATTAATGAAGTATACTTTGTTTTCAGTGAAAAAATTGTGGAATTTCTGTGGAACTACAGTTTTCCAAGTTATTGTACAAGTTTAATTCACACCAACATTGGAAGAGTGTTACAGTTGCCTCATTTAGCCAAAATCTGGTCTTTTAAAATTGTAGCCAACGTTGTGTTTTTGTAGTGATTGTTCATTATGGTTTTAATATTCATTTTCCTGAGAAGTAATGAAGTTGAGGACCTTTTCACATTGGCCATTTATATGTCTGCTTTTGTCAGGCACCTTATTTTTTTTAGACAGAGTTTTGCTATATGGCACATGTGCTCGCTGGAGAGAGAGAGAGAGAGAAGAGAGAGAAAAAGTGAGAAATCACCCCCCCAGGGGGATAGCCATGCTGCAATTCCTTCTCCTCCATTCTCCTCTCAGGACTTTGGATACACATGAACACGTGCCCGGCGTGAGTCCCCAGGTCTGGGACTGAAACTGTAGTCAACTAAGTGGGAGTCCAGCAACATTATTCCATCTGCTGGTCCCTTATCAGATACTTTAAGTATTTTTTTAATCTATTTTAATTAATTCATTCATTTTATTAGTTTGATTTTCATTTCTTACTGATCTGTGGTTTATCCTATGGTCTGAATATAAGCTCTCTGTTGATTATGAGTTTGAGAAATATTTTCTTACTCTAAAGCTTGACCTTTTTACCCTCAGAATGATATGTTTTAAGAATAATGTTCTTAAGTTTTTTTTTTAACTCACCTTTTCATGCATGACAGAGTACACCCACACACATGTTGGGGGGGGCACCCTTGACAGCGTCTCATCACAGGATCCCTTCTCTTATCTGTTCACATCCAGCTCATCAGGACCTTGGGTGTGTGCTCACCTGGCATGTTTTCAGGGTGACTTACATTCCAAACCCCGCATAGACCAGGCGATTTTCCAGTTCTGTGATTTAGTGCACTAGCACCTGTGCTACTGAGGCCAGACCAGTTGTCCTTCATTTTAATATAGTTCCGTTATTTTAGTTTTTCCTTTTATGGCTGGTATTATTTTGTGTGTCCTGCTTAAATGACTTTACTTACCTAAAGTCATGAACATATTTTATTTTTTATTATCTAGAAATTTTTATTTTTCTTTTACATTTAGATCTACAAGTTACCTGGAGTTTGTTTTTGTACGTTGTCTGAGATAGAAATGAGGTTTCATTTTTTATTTCCCATGTGATATCAAGTTGACCCTGTACCATTTATTGAAAAGTTTGTCGCTTCCTCATGATGTGCAGTGTCATCTTTGTCACAAATGAGCACATAGCCGTGTGTGCATTATTTCTGAATTCTCTATTCCATTTCACTAGTGTGTTTGTCTATATGCGTGCCATTATTATACCACATAATGTAGCTTTGTGATAAATCTTGACTTCAAATAGAGTGAGTCCTCAACTTTGTTCATTTTTAACGTGGCTCTTTGTATTTATATTTTAGAATTAGCTTTTTTTTTCTTATACACCATTAATTATGAAGTAAAGGTTTATTTGCTCAAAATGCAATTTAAAAATACTCAAATTGCATGTGATTTTATTTATTGTACAAAGTTCTGGATTTATTTATCAAATAGAAAATACTATACTGGATTTGCTTGTTCACGTGTTTTGTGATTTCCTTTGAAAAGAAAAATAAGTTGTCATAGCTATTGATATTTTATTAGGTAATGTTCTGTTACACTGAAAGGGATATTTTATATAAAACTTATTTGGAAACAGGTTTTGAAGTAGGGGACAATTGCTTACATAACATCTTATCTATTCATATCCTAAAATTTTCCATTTATGAATGTAGGATGTATGTATATGACTTAACCCTGAGTTTGCTATGCTGATTAACAGGTACTTTTGGTGTACGGGGAAAAATAGGTACTTATAAAATAGGTACTTATAAAAATATCTACAATAAAACATTGCTGATCAATTATACCAGAGGAACATCATAAGAGAGAAAATCCAACTATTTGTATTAAAATGAATACAATATTAAAATTTAAAAAAAAGACAAAAATGAATGTGTTTTGTAAATTATTACAGGAGCAAAAAATTCATCAACTACTTTTCAACATACTTTAGACTTTAAATATTGTTTAAATAGTTTTATCTTTTTCTTTTAATTTCAAGAAAGCAGATTTAACTTTAATAAATCAAAGAAATGCTAAGGAAATATACTTAAAACTTAAACCCAGGAAACAGGTTGGGATTCTGTTCAAATAGTAGGTACATGAACCTGTCAGCAGCTCAAAACAAGACAAAAATCCTTAAAACCAGAAAGCAAAGCCTAGAAGAAAATCAGCAATGTTTTAGTCAAAAGTTATATAATTCTATTTCGCCAATTCAGTCTCATGTACTTTATCTACTGTTGTGGTTCAATTTTCCCAATTAAATTCTGGGATATAATATTCAACTCCAGACTTGTCCCCATGATTAAGTTGGCCATTTTCTTAGTTCTTAAACTCTTATTTCTGTGTGACTATATTTAATTTTCATGATGTAGCACTCCCTGAAGAACTTCTTGGAGATCTGGTCTGGTGTTGGTAAATTCTTTCAGGTTTTGTTTATCTGAGAATGCTCTTGTCTTTTCTTCCCATATGAAGGATAATCTTGCCAGGTATAGTATCCGTGGTTGCAATGGCTTTTCTCTTAACACTTTGAATTTATTTCCCATTCTTTCTTCGCTTGCATTGTTTCCAATGAGAGATCTGATGTCAGTCTGATGGGATATCCTTTGTAGGTAACTTGACATTTCTCTCTTGCCAGTCTTAGTATCTTGTCTTTGTCTGTGGTTTTGCTCAATCTGGCTATAATGTGTTTTGGAGATCTTCTTGGGTTGATTCTATTGGGAGTTCTTTGTATTTCTTGCGACTGGATGTTTGAATGCCTCACTAGGTTTGGAAAGTTTTCTTCCAGGATTTCATGGAATAGATTGTCAATGCACTTATGGATCTCTTCCCTGACTGGGATACCAAGTATCCGGATATTTGGACGTTTGATGGTATCTAGTATTTCTTGTATAGTATTCTTATTTTAGGTGGCAATTTCTCTCGGCTTTGTGGTGGCTTTTTCTAGGCCAGCAATTCTATCTTATACATTTGAGATTTGATTTTTGGTATGATCTAGTCTGCTTTTAAAACTTTCAAGGGAAGTTTTGACTTCCTGTATTGTAGTCTTCATCTCTAACAGGTCCATTTGATTATTTTTTATACTGTGAGTTTCCTCTTTGAGATCTTGCAAGAATTTCCTCACCTCCTGCAGCTTGTCAGCTCCTTTTTCCTGCCTCTTCAGCAGTTCATTATCTCTCTTCTCTTCGACCTCTGTGAGCTTTGTCACCATTAAAATTCTAAATTCTTTATCTGGCATTTTTATGCATTTCATCATACTGTCTGAGGATGAAGAACAGTTATTATTTTTCCTTGGACAAGTGGTATTTTCTTGTTTTTCCATATTTCTTGTGACCCACAGTGATTTCTAGTCATCTGATGGATGGTGCATTTCTTCTAATTCTTGAAGTTCAATATGAGTGTTCAGAGGCATACAGGAGGAGGTGATCTGCAATCTCTCTTCTGTTCTCAGTATTTGTGCATCAGAATCAGTGGGTAAAGAGG